TGGTCCGGGGAAAGTTTCTCAGCAGTTTTAGCCTAATCAAAGCCTAAAATTGCTGACAAAAAAATTTGTGCAGGGAACCAAGGCGCAACATATACCAAGGAGATAGAACCCGGCGGGACGGGCGACTCACCCCACATTATGCCTAGTATCTGGTAAAGTGCCACTGCCCGAAGTTAAAATTGGGGGGGGGGCCTCTGCGAACTAACTCAGACCTAAAATGGTCGTCTCTGGAACTAATGTTTGCTTAATATGGTATGCTCTGGAACCGGCTATGGTTCGAAAATTTGGGGTCTCCGCGAACTAGCTATTGATTTTTCGTTTGCAATTTCAATGCTATGAAACTTGCGACACGTTTAAAAGAGGCGGTCGTCTCCCCGAACTGCTGGGTGTCTGGGGAACAGTGGATTTGCTTTAAAATCTATGCTGTAGCACTTGAACAATAATTGTTGTATTATGTAGAGGAGGAGAAAAACATGACCCGGCAGCGAGAGTATGAACGCACGCACACACACACACACACACACACTGCGCGCGCGAGCACGCGCGCGCGTGCGCCATACACACACTAACTAAAACTTAGAACAGATGGGCACTCACGCAGAGAACATACCTCCGCCAGCGACATACCGCCATACGCCATACGACTCAAGGAACACACGATAACCACGATTATACGCCCAGCGTACTGACTTTTATGCTTCGCTCGCTGCCTCAGTCAGGCAGCCAGCCGGCCTGCTGGCTGGCCGCTCGCTGACGCGCCTAATACGCATTTCGTGGTCACACTGACGCACGCAGCACGCACTACCTTCCGCCGGGAAACAGCTCATCGACAAATGATGGTCCCAACTTGGACTCCCAAGGGAAATAACACCTTGACTACGATTTATTCAAATTAAGCACAGGTTTTATATGGATTTGAAATTTCGACACTTAATTTTCGATTTTTCGATGAAAGTGTCGCTTCAAGCTGTTGTAGGCTAATCACTCATTGTTTGGGCGATCCCCCTATTATTTGTGCTAAGAATATATTCTTCTTCTTTACCTTTTCCTTGCAAATGGAAGGGGGCGTGACCCCCCACCCACCAATCATTGCAAGATGCTTTCTTTTTTCTTTTTCTTCTTCTTCTTCTTTCTTTTCCTTTTTCTTTTTCTTTTCCTTTTCTTTCTTTTTCTTTTTCTGCCCTTCTTTTCCCTTTTCTTGCAAATGATAGGCGGGCGGCGCACCGCCCCCCCGTTGCCCCCTGTGGCGCCGCCCCTCTATGCACGCACATGGCCATAATTGAGAACGCATATTTATTGATAAAGTAAAAAATGTGCGACCATATTTCGGACAAATATTGGAACATATAGTAAATGTATGCTATACTGCTTTATAGCTCTTACACGCTATACAGTATGTTCACAATCATTTTAAGTACGAGGGCTCTCCAACTCCAAATGCGCGAATGAAAATTGATGGACTAGGAGGCGGGGCGAAATTAACCTGCGCTGCCGCTAGGCAGGGTGGCCGCGTCGGGCCGCCTGCCCGTAGCGCATGCCAGCTGCTAGAGAGCGTCGTTGGGACGGCATGCCCCCCATAAAATTTTGAAATATTAAGCCATTTTCCTGCAATTCTGACGCATACTGTGGGCCATATTCTCATGTCTGATGACACTATTCTCAACCCTAGACTCAACCCTACAAGTTAGGATTCAAAATACTTTCAGGACTTTTCGAGAGGTACACAGTAAATTAGCGTTTTACTATTAGTAATAAATACTATGTATTAAAACACAGGCTAAGAATACTTGACTAATTCTCACATTTTCACGTGTTTTTGTATTGTTTGCAACCATACTTTTGGTATTTCTGTGAGTCTGTCAAACGATTCTTTGAGAGTTCATTGCATGTCTTATTTCTCATGCATTATGCTGAAATTGAAACAATCACATTTCTTTCTTTTTCTTCTTCGTTCTTTTCCCCCCCCCCTCTTCCTTCTTTCTTTTTTTTTTCTCTTTTTTTTTTGATCTTAGGGGGCGATATTTGTACAGGCCATCGCATCCCTCCTCCTTCAAAGACGGGCGGGCCATGCATCCCCCCATCCCCGGGATTTACGCCCCTGACACTACGCCCAACACACACACACGCCACCACACACACAACACACACACACACACACACACACACCACACACACACACACACACACCACACACACACACACACACACACTAACACGCGCGCGCGCGCGCGCGTTAACACAGAATATTAAATTATTTATGGACAAGAAATAAGAGCAATTGTAATACTTGTGTCATAGAAAAAATATAGACTAGTATATCCCTATTACTAGTAGTAGTATAGGCTAACTATAGTATATCATTTTGTAAATCGTATTAATATTATACTTATAGATACAATTTATGGTACAATTCGTAACAACGAGAACGGCAATCACGTGACTTTCAATTGCGTTTCGGGCTTTAGTGGTTAATGTAGACTGGTACTCGCTCCCACCTCGATTACTCGATGGGTAATCCGTAATCGAGTAACCATAGAAATCTAACTAATTTATCTATCTATCTAATCTATCTATTATAGGATCTATCTATCTATCTAATCTATCTATTATAGGATAGGATGTCTATGCGAGTAACCACTCGGGTAATCGAGGTTATGAACTTACGAGAGGTCTCTTTAGCCGAGAGGTGGGAGCGAGTACCAGTCTATGGTTAATGGCGCTGTGCGAGAAATGCGCGAAATTCAATACATTTTCAAATTCAATACAGATATATTGCTGGATCGATCATGTAAGGTTACTATTTTGCTCTCAAGTTTGTTCTGGTTAATTGTGGTTAATAAGTAATCCATATGTCAATTTCTGTTATTTAATGTTTAATTTTGGAAACGTGCGTAGGCCTATCTCTCATTCTCTAGCTGGACTGTAGGCCGACTCTAGCCACAAGTTCCCATCTCGCTTAACACTACGTGGCGAGAGGAGTCCTCCGGCGTATCCTCCGCCGTGTAACTAGTCGGAGAGCCTGGTCGGTTTAGGCCGACTCTAGTTGTATCGACTAGATACAATAATGTAACCCAAACCCAAGAGGATAGGGGGGAGAGAGCATAGCATAGAGGATAGCCCCCCCTATCCTCTTGGGTTTGGGTTACATTATTGTATCTATGTATCGACTAGCTCTAGTACTAGTAGTAGTACTACTACTAGTACTCACTAGCTCTAGTAGTAGTAGTAGTAGTACTAGTAGTACTATAGCCCGCGTTCGATTAACTGCCGCAGGAAATCGAATGCGGGCTATAGTACTAGAGCTAGTGTATGACTATCTGGCGCAAACATGGCCTAACTCAGAATGTTGGGTTACCGTTATATAAATAATAATAGGAAGGTATTGGGTCTGTACCCTAACATGTTCAGCCCCTAGTACTACTACTACTAGTCGCCGTATACCGTCGCCGTCGTTGCTAGCGCTACTGTAATCTGTATCATGCGGTATCATTGTACTATGTAGTCTAGAACTTAGAAGATAGTAATTAGAATATACTATAGTGCTCAAACTCAAAGTTCTCAAGAAACGAAAAGTTTGTTTGCATAGGCCTATCATATGTCTGGGTAGACACAATGTCAGTAATACATAGATACATAGATGTCAGGGGGTACATAGATACAATAATGTAACCCAAACACAGGGGTAGGTATACTACTAGGGGCAACCCGGCAAGGCTCCTACCCCTGTGTTTGGGTTACATTATTGTATCCCCTGCGACAAAGTCGGCGGGGATACTATGGTTTCACGTGTTCAGCCGCCGCCGCTCGGTCCACCGCAGAGATTTTTCCTTCCGCTCTATAACTCGACCCCTAATTGACCTAGCGCTACCAAACTTGGTATACTTACACATCTTGGGGAGAATGTGTGTCGCGTACCAAAACCTGGTCACTGCGGCTTTTATTTGACCTTGACCTTGATCATATTTCCCTTCCGCTCTATAACTCGGCCCCTAATTGACCTAGCGCGACCAAACTTGGTATACTTACACATCTTGGGAAGAAGGTGTGTCGCGTACCAAAACCAGGTCACTGCGACCTTTATTTGACCTTGACCTTGACCTTGATCATATTTCCCTTCCGCTCTATAACTCGGCCCCTAATTGACCTAGCGCGACCAAACTTGGTATACTTACACATCTTGGGAAGAAGGTGTGTCGCGTACCAAAACCAGGTCACTGCAACCTTTATTTGACATTGACCTTGACCTTGACATTTATCATATTTTCCTTCCGCTCTATAACTCGGCCCCTAATTGACCTAGCGCGAGCAAACTTCGTATACTTACACATCTTGGGGAGAAGGTGTGTCGCGTACCAAAACCCCTAAGGCAACCAATTTTAACATACTTGCACATCTCAGGCAGATGAGTTGTGTAACAGACCTTTGTCTTTGTGACTTATTTAACTTTACCTACCTTCTACGTTCTTACAGAGATATTTCATTCATACTAGATCACGGGGGATACATGTAGTTGGCGACAACTGCCCTTTCTAGTTGTATATAGGTTGTGGGGTAGTTCCAAGAAACGGTCATACATCATAGAAGTATATAATATATGAATATGAATATGAATATAAAGTATATATGATATATATATCCTTCTATATATATCATCATTATAATGGCAACACAGCACATTCACAGCGGCGAGTGTGGGAGCGGCTAGTTCTTCATTAGTTTTTGTGAAAGCAAATTTATATACAGTGACACAACAGTGGAAGTGTAATTGAGGGGTAGTATTTGTGAATGTGCATTCATATTATTTTCAGTTTTTACTGACTGTCCCAAGTGCCTGTGGGTTACATTATGTATCTAATGTTTGAGCTATGACTGTATTGTATGACATTTGTACATTTGTTTTTTTTTCAGTGTTTTTATTTCAATGATAAATATGAATATGGCACAAAGTGGATCAGGCTCATATCCTGTTAGACGTGGGGCACACAGTGGAGAATACCGAGGTGTGTGGAAAGGGAGAGGTTCATGGCGCGGCAAATCGAACAGGGGTCGTGGAGGAGGCTGGCAAGGTGGCAGCACATATGTACGTATAAATTATAGCTGTACTCTACAGCTCTTTGCTCTGCAGCAGGAGGATTCCTGTGGCAGAGTGAAGTACCATGTATAGTAGGGCTACGTATAGAATATAAAGCGTTTTAGTACTACACTTTATAATATTTACTGGAACTTACAGATCATTAGTACATTTTTTCCAGATAGACTTGACCGATTTCATTGATTGTTATCATGCATTACAGCAAAACAACAAGCCTCCCTTAAAGGAAAACAATGTGGCTTCACAAAGCTATTATTCTCATCATGGCAGCAGAAATCCACCGATGCGTCAAAGCACACTCGGCACTTCTTCACCCTATATGGGCTGGGCGCTCTACTTTCCTAACGAACCTTACTTGGAGGCGTCATCAACTGTAAACATGCTGCATGTCTTTGAAAAGTATTTCCTCGCCTATAAGACCATTTACAACAGAGAGGCTATAGAGCGGAAACAGTCGTTTGAGGTTGACCTTAAAGAGTTGCTTGGCAACAAGGATGTACTGGAGGCACTGCCAAACCTAGGGGAAAACATCCGAAATGATCCGGAGGTCGTTCTAGGGTGTCTCGGACTGGCCATGCACCAGATGTTGACCGTCGAGGCTGAGCAGCATATAGAGAGGCAGCGAAAAGATATGCTAATGGAAAGGCAACAGAAGGAGCAGCGTGCAGAGAGGGAACCGGAGGCGATGCTAGCAGACGAGCGACCCGCGGGCGACCCGGGGGTGCCGACCCCGCAACCGATCCCCGTCGTGCGCGCGCGCCTCACCAAGTTCGAGCCGGCGACGGCGCTGCGCAATCTGCGCGCGAGCTCGTGCGGCAAGCTGGTGAGCGTGCGCGGCACGCTGGTGCGCGTCGGCAACGTGAAGCCGCTCTGCCGCAGCATGGCGTTCTCCTGCAACGCGTGCGGCGCCGAACAGACGCTCGCGCTGCCCGACGGCCGCTACGCGCTGCCGACGCGCTGCGCGGACGACGACTGCAGGGGGCGCTCGTTCACGCCGCTGCGCGGCTCGCGCCGCACGACGATGATCGACTGGCAGATGGTGCGTCTCCAGGAGGTGCTCGGCGGCGGGCAGGCCGAGGCGGGCCGCGTGCCCCGCACGGTCGAGTGCGAGCTGACCGACGACCTCGTCGACACGTGCGCGCCGGGCGACACCGTCACCGTGTGCGGGGTCGTCAAGGTTGCGAACGCCGAGTCCGGCGGCGGCGGCGCGGCGGCTGGCCGCGACAAGTGCACGTTTCTCCTGTACGTGCGCGCGAATTCGGTGATGAGCGAGCGCTGCGGGCGCGCGGAGGGAGGCGGCGGTGTCGCGATGGAGTTCTCGCTGCGAGAGCTGTACGGCGTGCGCGAGATCCAGGCCGAGCCGCAGCTGTTCCGGCTCGTCGTCAACTCGCTCTGCCCGGCGATCTACGGCCACGAGATGGTCAAGGCGGGCCTCGTGCTCGGGCTGTTCGGCGGCACGCAGAAGTACGTCGACGACAAGAACCGCATTCCCGTGCGCGGCGACCCGCACATCCTGACGGTCGGCGACCCGGGACTCGGCAAGTCGCAGATGCTGCAGGCGGTGGCCAGCGCAGCGCCGCGCGGCGTGTACGTGTGCGGCAACACTACCACGACCTCAGGTACTTTATTCGCTGTTGGTATTTTTTGGTGGCTTTATTCGCTGGTGGTTCGCTGGAGGTATTTTTCGCTGGTGGTGACAGACCAACAGCACATGGTGGACATAATTATTTGTCCAAGTGATGTGCATCATGCATCACCTAGTTTTGCAATGCGTATATATGCTCTCTGGACAGAGGCAAAAAATTCAGGTTTTCGCTAAAAATCTACTTGTTTTTGGGTGCAAGCAATCTTTACATACATTTACTGTGCGGCTATAGATGACCAAGCCTACATTTAATCGTTACCATGAGCTTCAGTAATTTTGGGAGCACTGTGGAGCACGTTGCACTGTATAACAGATGATAAATTTTATTAAGAAAATCTTTTTGGTATGATTAAATTTTCTTTAAATAATCATTAGCGGAAACCTAACTATATGTTCATGCCCTCTTCGTTAATTCGTGCATCGAAAAATGAAAACAATGAAAGAGAAATCTGAAGCTGGTGATGTAAACGAACGTTGTTGTTTCTACGTCAGGGCTCACAGTGACATTGTGTAAAGAAGGTGCATCAGGTGATTATGCGCTGGAGGCAGGGGCGCTGGTGCTGGCTGACCAAGGCTGCTGCTGTATTGATGAGTTTGACAAAATGGCAAGTCAGCACCAGGCTTTACTTGAGGCTATGGAGCAGCAGAGCATCAGCATTGCAAAGGTTTCTAACGTCACAGTTTCGTAAACAGGTGTCTAAGGCAACACAAGTAGGCTTAGTTCGGATTTATAAAGTTTGTTAAAATTAAAAATTGATAGTGAAATCCGTTGTTGTTGCCAAGAGCATGTCAATTATTGGTGAGCTGTAACTGTAAGTTCATTTTTTAAGTATTTAACTATTAAAGTAAACTTCATTAGCAACTACTATTATAAAAAGAAGTTTCTTATGAGTCTGACCATAGAACAAACATTTTAACTGCAACCTCCACCAGTCATGGTTTTTGCCCATTGATTTTCACCAGGCCTAGCTTGCCTATCAATTTCTTTCTGAAAACTTGCCGCCTTTTGGCCCCTAGTGTGATTATACCAAAGCTGATCGGCATTTGTGAAATTGGGAAAGGAATGACGGTCGAGTCCTACGGCAGTAAGGTCTACAAGGCTCGATTCTCTGTTACAGGCTGGCGTCGTGTGCAGCCTGCCCGCTCGCACTTCCATCATTGCTGCGGCTAACCCCGTCGGCGGCCACTACAACAAGGCCAAGACCGTCTCCGAGAACCTGAAGATGAACGGAGCTCTGCTATCCAGGTGCAACGATGCGCTCTCAGCTGCAGCTGGGGCTCGGCAAAGTCTTCTAACGCCCGCTTAGTTTATCGTCACTTATATATGTGGCAATAGGTTAAATCGTGATTTATTGTAGGGTAAGGCAATGTTGTTGTGGGTTCAATCGGTAATTTTTTAAGGTACTACGAGAATTCAGCAGGGCATCGAGGCAATTTACTTTTTATCAAGATGCGAGTAGGGTTGGAAAGCACGACATCTAGCGTTGTCATGTGGTGAATGTCAAGCCCTGTTTTGGCAAGGGCGTAGTAAGCAACAAGACAAGAGGCTTAGGGTAATGAACACATTTGGCTTGTGAGCTATCGTAAGATGTACTTAATAAAATTTCCAGATTTGATCTAGTTTTCATTCTGATGGACAAGCCTGATGAGGATCTAGACTGTAAGCTGTCAGAACATGTGATGGCTCTCCACGGAGGAAAGAAGAGGGTGAAAATAGAGCCACAGACTCCGACTACTTCACAGGTTGGCAAACCTGTATCTACTCTATAGCTCATATAATTTTATATTCATAGATGGCTGGGCGTTAGCAGTGTAGTATAAACAGCAATAGCAGTAGTATTGTTTATAGTAGTAGCAGAAGCAGCCCCAGATAAGCACTGTCGTGTTGCAATTCTAATCACAATATTATTATGTGAGAAGTTATGTACTCCATCACAGCAAATATTTACCACATATTGTGCATTGTTCTACAATGCAGGCTACTGAAATGGACGAGAGCAGGCTTCTTTGGGAGGCAGAGAAACCATTGAGCGAAAGCCTTAAATATCAAGTTAGAGAGAAGTGTGACCCGATTCCTGTACAGCTACTTCGGAAGGTATGCCTATCTTAGCTTAAAAGGTATTGTAGAAACCTGCTATTAGCCTCAATATGCACTATTTAGACTCTATCAGGAGTGAATAATAATAGATATGATGTGAGGAGGGTCAGGAGGTGTGAGAATGGATGATCAGGAGTGAATAATAATAGATATTATCTAAGAATAATCTATTATTATTCACTCCTGGTGTTATGCAGCCAATTTTCGAAGTCCTATCCTTGTATAGAACCCACCCTACACATTTATGACCTTTATCATATAGTATTTACTATCAACCGATTTCCACTAAAACTGATGTGAGAGAGGTCTGTTGCATAGGGTAAAGGAGTGGTTTTTTAACAATTTTTTTGGGGGGATTTGACAATTTCGCCTTCAATGTGCAGCCATTATTATCACCAAGCTGTTACCATAACCAATTGCAGTGTATACTCTATTATACCCGTGACCAGATTACAGTAACATAACGTTTACGTTGTGCACGGTAACGAGTGAGTGGCGTGACTAACCGTTACCGCGCGTTTCACTCCACCAGTACATCGGCTACGCGCGCAAGTACGTGCACCCGACGATCTCCCCGGACGCCGCCAAGGTGCTGCAGGAGTTCTACCTGGAGCTGCGGCGGCGCCACCAGTCGCACGACACGACGCCGATCACGACACGGCAGCTCGAGTCGCTCATCCGGCTGACGGAGGCGCGCGCTCGGCTGGAGCTGCGCGAGGTCGCGGACGCGCACGACGCCGCCGACGTCATCGCCATCATGAAGCACAGCATGCACGCGACGTTCTCCGACGAGCTCGGCTGCCTAGACTTCCGCCGCTCGCAGCACGGCTCCGGGATGAGCGAGAGGGCGCCGGCGAAGCGGATGGTCGCCGCGCTGACGAGCGTCGCCGAGCGCACGTGCAACTCGATGTTCACCGTGCAGCAGATGCGCGAGATCGCGGCGGAGAGCGGCGTGCGAGTGCGGAACTTCGAGGATTTCGTCGCTGCGCTCAATAACCAGGGCTTCCTGCTGAAGAAGGGACCGAGGGCCTACCAGCTGCAGACAACCGGCTTTTAATGCTTCGTCTGACCTTTAGATTCGACCTGCCAGTACCTATGTTAGCTATACTAAGTGCTAATACTTAGTCTCTGCTCATAAGTCCATCCTTAACGGTTTAGACTTTTCCGTGGCAAACCCCATTCAAAATCATGCAGATTATGAGTCTGTAAACTTTGGAAGTAGCATGTGTTGATGAACTGCATTTTGCATTGCCCTACCATCTGTATTGAAAATACTGTTTTTTGTCTTCACTTCATTTCACCTCTGAAATTATTGGCATAGTGATTACAAGTGAGCAACCCTTCTAGGTTGCCCACATTTCTTTTCTAATTTATATGATGTTGTGTTATACTGTGTTACAATGTACAGTCACTTGCTGCGACCTGGCTCTAATGGCCATTCAAGTTTAGTTATCCTTTTGCAACTGCAGAGAAATTGTTGTTGCTTGTACATATTGTATCATTTATAGTAATAGCTTCATTCAAGCATATGTATAATATGTAAACTTTCACATGTATAGTAATTATGGTATTTTGTAACCACATTTCTAAAAAAAAAAAAATTCATTCTTTGGGCTCTATTTATATCAATGAATTTTTCTTTTGGACAAATTATTATTTACAATTTCAATTATTAACACTTATTTGATTTAAAATATACAAAAAATACATTTTGCGACAGTGAATTAAAAATAATTCTATATATACAAACAAATACACCACCTAGTATATTAATTGACCAGCTCAGTCTTGAGTTGTATCACCAGCTCCCCCTAGTGTCCTTGTCCGTAATACATGCATGTTATCCAGACTTTGAGTGAGAAAAGATCGTACTGTGTTGATCTCCATGACTGTTAGATGGTTTAGCTACAAACAAAATGTCACATTTAAAAGATGAGAACGTACGCATGAAATTATAAAGACTGCTGGTAGCATAATAATTGTATGTAGGTTATAGCATACATTATAATGATATCAGTGATGTGTATTCTTTAGTATAAATTGAGCAATTATACCAGAATTGAGTAATTTTGGTATAGGACTAACCATAAACTACTCAAGTGTCCATACACAGTTCATCACAGCATAATGTTGAATTCAGGGTTTCCAATTAAGAGTTATCCATACGTTATATTAGTGGTGCTATTCCTTCAGAATTACTTGAAATTGTCAAAACAGATTTTTACAACCATTATCAATAGCTTCCAGCTATACAGTAATACCCTGCATTATGTAAGTAATGCTTTCCAGGAAAAAACATACATAATAATAAAATACATAATGTGCATCACATTAATTTCCTATTGACTTCCGATAAATAATTGGATTTGGTGATGATGACTTTTTGACTTTAAAAAACGTTTATTTCGTCGTTGCACAAATTAATTAGAAACTATTGTCACGGACTAGCGAGCATGCTCTAATCTAAAATCTGGTATTGCTGTTGCTGTACTGTCTGCACACGTTCAGCTAAATTTTGAACAAACAGACATTGCAGTTTGTTTTAATTTTGTGAACTATAATGATCAATTTTAAATGTTTTTTTTATGCTAAATGTGGCATTTTTGGACATTTTTATGTGGCAACCAAGAAGTGCTATTGGGCGTATAGAAATATTTATGACAGCTTTTCATCATAGAACGCAGTCTTAATAGCAGTGGCCATTACTCACCATAGCATGCCTTTCATCGCTCTTAATAAAAACATCGATACTGCTGCGAAGCTTGGCTATTCTCAAATCCCAGATGTCTTTGATTAAAGTTCTTACTTGATCAGCACGTGGAATGTCATTAGCTGCACTGAAATGTATGCAAATAAATAATAAGATTCAAATAGTAGACCCCAAAATAAACACAATCTAATGAAGATTTATGTATGTGTATGCATGATATTTTGCTCAGAGCAAATGCATACAGTGGTGTTAACTGTTAAAGCTGCACTATGCGCATCCAAGCGCTAATTTCTCCAGTACTAGACTAGCAAATAATTCGTGTCATGCATAATCACACTACCTTATGGCAAAATAAACTCTAGTTCCTCCAATTTCACTGCGCGTTTGCTTAAAACCCACAAGAAAGAAGTGCGAAATCTGGTAATCTGGCGCCAACGCCGACTTGTTTGCCAAACAATTTAGCCTCGAAGCGGTTAGGTGACGTCACGTTTTTATCTTTGCTACACCCGTACCGCTGCACCGCAGCACCGCTGCATGGTTGCTTGGGAGAGCAACGCGAAACTGTCAACAACATCGGAGAATTTGAACAACATTGGAGGTATTTTCAAATGCCTTTTATAAGACAACGCGCAGTGAAATGGGAGGAACTAGAGGTTATTTTGTCATAAGGTAGTATGATTCTGCATGACACGAAGTATTTGCTAGTCTAGTACTGGAGAAATTAGCATGTAGATGCGCATAGTGCAGCTTTAATACTTACTGATTCAGCAATATCTGTGTCATCTCCATATAATGCTCGTTTGGCATCTCAGTAAAGAATTTGGACTCGGTCTCATCCTGCTTCTTCTCCTCTAACCTTTCTAAAAGTTAATTATTAAGCATAATTTAAAACTCTATTATAAAAAAGTAATAAACATTGATACACAAATTATTTGATTACATATTATTACATTACATTACTTATATACTTTTATTATAATATATAATATATACCAATTTATTAATTTATTATATTATACACATAGGCTTTAAATCACTCCTACTCAAATTAATACTATAACCAGGCATATGTTTGTGTGCATGCAAGTATGCATGGTTTACACAACTTCTCCTACTACTGCTGAGAGGGTCTATGTCCCCCAGGGTAATGCCGGAAAGTACCCTGGGTACAGTCCGGTATACCGGAACGTACCCTGGTACTATCTAATATGCCGGAGCGTACCTCGCCTACTCCACTAACGAGTCTAGGGAGTCGCCTACGCCTACTCCCTAAACCTAACCATATCAAATAGTTACCAGGGTCTGTTCCGGCAGTACACTGGGGGACATAGACCCTATGAGCCCTACTACTACAAGTCCATGCAGTTACACATACTTGTAACCCATACAAGAACGTATCAGGATAAACAGGAAATAATAAGTGTTTTTATAATAATATCAGTTTTACTAACTGTAGCGATAATTTAAATTAATGGATGAAAAATGACTACTTGAAAACTACTTTTAGAAACAATGTGTAAAACAATGCAGATGCTCATAATGACAAATATATATTAACTGACCAACATTCATCCACTCTGGTGGTATAATCCTGCACTTTTGTCTCTGCTTCAGGTTGACTGCTAGCCACAAAGGCAATTCTACAGGAATGCTGCCAATAAATGGTCCAACATCTCCCTGGCCAGAGAAACACACAAAATATTTAGATTCTAACTAAAAGTTATTCTTAATAAGTATTAAGTTGTAATTTAATAAATTTAGTAATTAATAATAGTGGTCTCCCGCTTAATTTGGATGATCGGTAACCAGAAAAACGTACGCTGTAAGGATTAGGCAGTGATCCCAATTAATGAATGAATACATTTTCAGTTGCACATGTATGCCTACTTGTGCTCATAGGGTCTATGTCCCCCAGGGTACTGCCGGAACGTACCCTGGGTATGGTCCGGTATACCGGAACGTACCCCGGTAACTATCTAGCTGATATGGTTATGGTTAGGGTTAGGGTTAGGGTTAGGAATAGTGTTAGGGTTAGGGTTAGGGTTAGGGAGTAGGCGTAGGCGACTCTCTAGACTCGTTAATGGAGTAGGCGAGGTACGGTCCGGCATATTAGATAGTAGTATTTAGTACCAGGGTACGTTCCGGTATACCGGACCGTACGCAGGGTACTTTCCGGCAGTACCCTGGGGGACATAGACCCTCTCAGCCCTACTTGTACCTGAAACAATACTCCATGTGGCTCTACTCTTGTACATGGCACTAGCCATTACACACAACCATTGCATCTACGTAGGCAATTATAATTCATAACGGCTTGTTAAGGCGCATCTGAACAGTACAGAAATAATGCTTATGACTCGGTTACGACCACGTACTGTCGTACAAATCGTAAGTTTCGCTCTAAAAAGTTTTGTTATGCCCATTATGCATGTTTAGGGGTCGTTCACAATTATCAACATTTTCACAAGTGTACAAAGAGTACAGTTTTTCGAGACCCACCCCCCTTCCCCCCTAAAAGTGTATGAAGAAAAATGTTGATTTTTTTCCACACTATTCTACATAGAGATACATGTATATAAATTACATGCAAACCCTGTTGTCGGCGCGTCACGGCATGAGGATGAGCGCGATGCCGGCTGAGACGCGCGGCGCGGGAAATGGGTCGACATTTTTCGGGAATGCTGAAAGCCTACGGCGGGCATTGACCCCCTCCCCCCAGCGTACGCGGTGTTTGTAAGCTTGTGAAAATGTTGATAATTGTCAACGACCCTTTAGAACCCATTAAAAGCTGAGAATTGTCATTATGCTTTTGTTACAAATGACATCATGTGTCTATTGCCATGGCATTGGCCGGCTTGCTTAGGCTGAGAGGGTCTATGTCCCCCAGGGTACTGCCGGAACATACCCTGGTACCTAATATGCCGGACCGTACCTCGCCTACTCCACTAACGAGTCTAGGGAGTCGCCTACGCCTACTCCCTAACCCTAACCATATCAGATAGTTACCAGGGTACGTTCCGGTAGTACCCTGGGGGACATAGACTCTATGGCTATGAGTATGAGCTTGGCTTAGCTTTAGTTAGACTTAGAGTTAGAGTAATACTAATAGTAATAGAGAAGAACTTCAACTAGAGAAGTCTGTTCAACAACACACTGACCCCAATAAGGTATATTTTTCCGTATGAGAAATTCGGTACAACGGTGACAATTTCTTTTTCTGCAATGAACTCAATTTCTGACGGGTCCATATTTAAATCTCACATAAAAAGAAAACAAAACAGTGATTTCGGCTGTACTTTCAACTTCTTGAATTTCGCGGAACACGAGGTGGCAGCACACATTGGTAATTTTTGCGATGCGAGACATGAAATAAAAAGTAATAAAACTAAATTATTTATTACAATATACAAAAATAAATTATGTCTTACTGTACGTTTTCTTTTTAATTTGTTCTATGTTTACTTTAGCGTTTTAGTGTGTTTACAAATCTCCGAGTCCACTTCTGTTTAACTGATTAGCCAAAATGGCGGCCTCCTTGGGGTGCAACAGTTTGCTGAGAACCTTTACAAAATTTACTAATTTGAGGGTATATATTGAATGCAAACATCTAGTTGCCGATAATTTCAAAGTTATTAAACAAAGTGATCACATAATATATAAGTACATTATTGTAAATATAACATTCTCGTGGTTCAAAACTTCAAAAACCAAACTCTGATTACAGTTGTTATGCTTACCGGCTTAGCCCGGCCTTGGCACTGCAATTTGCACGTACTAGAGCAACTTCTATTTGTGCATTTACATGAAGATAACGTATTAAATGCTAGTCATCGAAATTAATTTAAAATTAACTGTAATATTTATTCTATGGTAGTTGATGAACAGTGATCATGCCTGGACATGGTTGATCGTGTCGATTCGTGAAGTCATAAAATTGAATAACAAAAACAACACTGGCAACCTTGAATTTTGGATCTCTCCCCTTCTCTCCAGCCCTGTTTTGTGTGTTTGTAAAGCCTACAATCTCTGCGTACATAGTGCTCTTTATATATTAATTGAATTTTAATTTTAGGTGCGTTCTATAGACAACCACATTTGGACACCAGTCATATCTTGCTGCTATTGCACGAGTAGTGTGGAAAAGCAAGCAAGCTTGGGTGTGAATGCAAAACCCTCCTTAAAAGAACCAGGCAATGTTACTTTAAAAGCTTCAAAGCATGCAGCAGATATTGGATTGCCTCCACTTGGGACGCTATCATTTGGGAATCCAGAAGAGAGTCCAGTCATCGAAAAACCAAAAGATCCAACTGACCATTACAGGTAACAAGCATATAATCACTAATATATAGCAAACAATTTATTTGCATTATAACTGAAATTCCACAGTTGCATAGAAGCTTAATTGTTACCTCATGCACACATTTATGTTTATTCTAAATCTTTCTGTATTTAGGGAAAGATTTATTCCAATTACAAGAAGATCCATTATTCGTCACTTAATGCAAGAACCTGATTTCCTTACTGAGGACGAAAAGAAGAAATTTGAAGCATTTGCTCATGCATTGGATAGTGCTGTTGTCAACAAATATCATGGCTTACTGGAGGAGCTTAAGGTAGGAATACATACTTAAACAGCAGCTCCATTGTTACAAAAGTAAAATACGACAATGTCCTATTCGAGCGTCATGTGCATACATATATTCAGTGTTTTTCCTCTTCTTCCGTCATGTCCATTTTCAGTGTCAACTCGCTTTGTTTATAATTAAAGTTTTTGTACAATAAAACATGTCAGTTGGCCAATTATAATTCTAGTCTAACCCATGAACAATATATTTAACTTCACATAGTTATACATATGTACCGGTATACATATAAAACAAGAAATGGGAATGTAGATGTACCGTATATACTCGCGTAATAACCGCAAATTTGGCCTCAGATTTCAACCCTGTATTTGCTCTGCGGTTTATAAGTGCGCCATACCGTGAGGGGAAATATACTAGGCGCAATACTTGGTTACCCGATTCAAATTGAGGTGCGGCTTATAGGCGCCCGCGGTTATTACGCGATCATATACGGTACTACAAAAAATGCAATAAAAAGTATCTATGCACCTAAAAGAGTCATGGCCATACAGATGATTGAAACTGACAAAAAACACATGAGAAAAATTGTTATGTAGGTAGTTATTTGGCTTTAATGATGCATTTGAGCAGCATTTGAGTTTATACACGTATAATCAATCCTTACATTTATAGTTCAAATAATCCTCATTGGGGGCCTACTGGCAGAATTTCTGTTATTCTACAAAAATATATAGGCTACGATGTGATGTCTAGCCATTCACAAACTTTCATGGAATTGCAGAATTTTATAATTATTCTGTTTCAATCTGTTCATGTGGTATATGACAAAATGCTTCCTTGGTTTCTCTGCGTGAATCAATCTGCCATAATTCATTCAATGGTTGTGTACAACCGATACAGCTTGTTGCAAATTGTGTTATGAATCATTGTAAACTATATATATGCCTGATTGGATTAGAAGAATACTGCTGTTTGCATGAATGCAGAAATTGTGATATGCTACCAAACACCTAAATATAGCACGCAGTCACTAATTAATAATATCATTATGATTAATTATGTGTGTGCACTATAGTATGTAATTCAAAAACCAATGGTTTGTATTACCAATATTACAATTATACAAGTACTATTTAGCAGAACATCTCAATTGGTGGGAGGGATAGTGAACAGGTCGTATTTTACTTTGGTTGTGCTGCAACAGAGGGCAGCAGAGGTTTTCCTCTTCTAACATGCTCTCTATCTAACGCGCTGCTGCGTTTACACTATCGATTTTTGTCAGCAAATCGTCCGAGTCGTGCAAAATAGAACACGTTCAATTTCTCCAACTCGGCGACTTGACTCCGAGTCCGACTCCAACACAATCAAATTTCAGCCGTTTAGTTGGAATGCACCTGGGTCAAGTCGGGGGCAAGTTGGAATGCACTTGAAATCGGAACAATTTGCTGACAAAAATCGATAGTGTAAACGCAGCTTTAGCCTCTGGTCTAGAATGTTTCTTATTCTACGTGTATGTTGTGTTTTGGCTCATATATAAAGCAATAACTTGCAATAACTGCCCGGTATGACCAACCTACCAAGTTACAAATTATACAGTTGTGACAAGAGTATGTACTGCAACCACCGAGGGATAACGCTCTATCAAAATACTTTAGGAATTCATCTACTCGTGATGCCCGCTGTTGTGGAGAAACACTTTTATAATACGTATGCACTGATAATGTGCACTGATTTATAATATGTACTGCAGATGAGGCTCCTTTCTCAAGTTTACAATAATTGAAATGCTTTTAAAATAGCTAGTATATGTGTGGGGAAACCATAGGGAGAAACAAACCCGATGGATCTGGCATATACCATGCATGCTGTCATTTCTGCGAGTTTTATCACACGTGTTGTACCTGCTGTTTGTCAATTATCAGTGATTGTTAGTAAATCTGTGTACTCTTGTCATCGCTCAGACCGCGTTATCAGCATCTGTTCCGCGGGACCTAACCAATGCTTCTCGTGTCAATCACACTGCCTGGCTGCCTGGCTCACTACTTCAGAGCTGAAATCACATTAGACTACAGACATATCCATAGTGTGTCATTTGACCAGAACGACATATGTGCCGCACACTGTTCCCTCGCGTATTATTCCCGATTAAATGAGCGTGCATGCACTACTGGAGCCGCACAGCAGGCGAGTGGACTTCGCTTGAGCTCATCGTTCAAATGGAGATTGCTTTGAATGGCTTGCAATTTGATAGATTGTATGGCGGTTGACTTCCTATAGACAACGAGGGCACAGCCATTCACCACTGCTGTTATATCTTCCTATCGGCGCGTGGCTTGGGAAACAGCAGATATGTATTTCCATACGTCAGAACGCGTTAAGATTCGCTACTGCCTCACATTTTCTGCCTGCTGCAGCGTGCGAAAAGGTAGCGCTGTCATTTCGTTTGTTTCACTGCGTGCCTCCGTGCAGCAACTGAAGAAGAAACGGTCATCACACGTGTTAGGGACATTGCAAAATGGAATTATAGACGTCGGAGAGAGAAGCCCGAGGAATCTTCCGGGAAGCCAGCGTCGGAAGTTTTTATTAACTTACACATGTGTCGGTGATTTATGTGTGAGCCGTGCCATTGCTCACCGTCTTAATGGATCTCTTACTAACGCTGTGCACTTTATTCCATCAAGAGCGTATTAATTATTAAGTATACTTAATACGCTCTTGATTCCATTATACATCAAGCTATATACTCAACACACACTGCATAAATAATTATACTAATACACTACATAAAACACGGTTAATCAATGTTTTCTGTAGGACTTGCTGCTTAGTATATATTTCATATGCGTGGCCGGTGGTAGAAATGAGGGAATCTGATGCACTCACTGCCCTGAAATAGAGGGGAGCTCACCGCGTCACACTAGGGAGACCGGCAGTAAAACAGATAGTACTTGACTTCAGCCTGCGTTAATTTAGGTGCCTGCATATGGCGATATCTTTATCTGAACGCTACGTTCGAGTCGGGTTTGAACTTAGACTCTCTCTCTCTCTCTCTACTCGCTGTAGCCAGACCATAGTTAGTGGGAAAATAAATGGTCTGAAGTAAATCTGAACTGCTGGTCATGTAATGTGTGCCTACTCGCTGAATCCGTCGAGTCGCTTGACTTTTTACTTCCCATGTTACTTGAGAGGAGGACCCGTGTATGAAGTAAGACATGTTTCATGAATGCATTCGGAAATTGGAGAATGCCGTGATTGTGCGCCAGCTTCGATGAAACGCGATATTGTAACGTGGATTATAATGACTGCTTTCAGGCAGTCGTGGAAGCGGAGACTCGTTCCATAAGTTGCGCCTATTTGCACGTTTCTATTTTATCCTATTTAGCCCAGCCATATGGAGTCAGACTAGTGGAAATGTGCGAAACGGAGTGAGTGTGTGTGTGCGTGCGTGCATGTGGGCGTGTGTGTGCATGTGAGATCAGATGCAGGGCTACATCCAGGTATTCTAGAAGGAAGGGGTCCGGTTAATGCGATGTAGAGAGAATTGAAGGCATGCCTTAATCAGATTTATTTACGTGAAATCTGGTTACTACTCACAATTGGATGGATTTTTAATGTATATTCGCTACGTCGAAGTACCTTATTCTGTTTAATTTTGAAAAAACATTTGACTCACATTAGGAAAATCGGGCCAGCAGTCACTAAAGGGGGAAGGGGGGTTCAGACCCCATGCACCTTCCCCAGAAACCCCTTTCCTGATATCACTAGACGTACTATGTACTATCTACTAATCAGGCACGAATTGCTGGCATGCGTGGATTTTTCTACTGGAATGTTGTTCTGTTGCAATGTGCCCAAATCTAGTGTGTATGAGCAATTTTACGACCAGTGAGGTTTTTAGTTAAATAAAATTATCAACAGCGTATTAAGAAGCGTTATCAAGAACCCTAACCCTAACCCCAACCCTTCTTTATACGCTCTTGAAATTATCAATTTAGACCACAATCCTCCTCGTCGCCTTTGGCCATATTTCAAACGTGGCGTTAGGTACACGCACATTAGCATTGAAATGCAGGCATGTTGTCTGACAAGCAATTTAATTTGGATGAATTTCCAATATGAATACAATGCATTGTTCGATTCAGAATATGAAATGACAGACTGTGCAATTTTAGGCGGGACTGCAGTTTTTATAACGTAAATATATGCTGTGAAAACGTTTTTTACATTTGTATATTGTCTGACTCGTCAGTCTATGTCGGGTTCCGCTATGGTAGCGTTGTGAAGCAATAGCAAAGAGGAAGCACTGAATTGCCTCTTTCATATCTAAGATTACTTTAAGAGAAAACTATCAGAAATGTTGCTTTGTGCCACCATGTTATTATAGAAAAGTCATTTTGGGTAAAGGTATTGTAGGAAAGGCACAGAGAAAGTGTAATAAGAAAATGTGATATGTGCTTTCGTGCTTGAATGCTAGTCACACGAGAGACTTTTGCATAGGGCAATTTGCATTAATTAGACGCTTGGCTTGACATTGCATTGGGATAAACACATCAATAGTGTCCTGCAGCTTCGTCTGAGTCCGTATTATCAGGCGCTAATAATGACAAATAAATTTGTCATTATTAGCTCCTGGTATTATGTTATCTGAGTAATACTTGGCTAAAAGGCGTCGTACTGTTTGTTACTCAGTGCAAAGAGCATTTTGTCGTTTTATCAAGCTATCATGTTCTACGTTATATTGGAAGAAAGGAAGCTCAAGGAAAGAACGCTTTACTGCCCTTGAAATGTTAGCACTCGTAGACACACATGGATGCACGCAAGCACGCACACACACGCACGCACGCACGCACGCACGCACGCACACGCACACACACCAACGCTCACCCTCACACACTACGTTTCTTGTTATAAGTATTTTAGTTATGTTCGCATTTTGCTTTTATCGCGTTCACTGCTTTTCTATAGATGCGGTATCCGCTTACTCGTTTTCATGCGTTCTAAGTGAAAAGCGCTTATCGCGTTTTGTT